AATTAATCATGCACGGATTATTACCGAAAAACTGGTTTTTTATAAGAGTACACAGCGCCAACTCGCGGAGACATCAAAAAGAAAAGTTGTTCATCTTTCAATTATAATCAAATATTATTTGAAACATTTTTCGTAAAAAAACAAAATTTGTTTCCGGTCATTAACCGTTGTCAAAAATTTTTGACGAGTCTGTGAAATTTCGAGTGTGAAAATGAGTTTTTTGGAAAAATCGAAATGTGTGTATTCAAATTGTTCGGAAAGAACAAGAAAATTAGCTTTACCCAACATCCATTTGGTATTAGCCGTCCTTAAGGAACATTTTCATACATTAACAAAACTTAGAATCGAAAGATTAGAAAACTTAGTGAGGGAAATTGAAAAACTCAAAATTGAACAGAACGAAGATTATTTCGCGGAGGAGAACTTAAATAATAAAAATGAGGATAATTTCGATATAAGAAAAGAACATTTCGATGAAAACGTAATGAAAAAAGAAGAAAATTTTAATAAAAAAGTGATTTTAGAAGTTGAAAAAATCGAAAACAAACCGTTTAATTTCAATTTAAACCCATCGAAATTAAAATCGTTTCAAGAATCATTACTTTCGCTTAATAATGAAAATGATTTTAAACGAAAAACATCAATTAAGGGTTTAGTTACGGAGGAAGAAATAAAAAGTTTTACCCCTGCGATGCACGAACCGATCGGGACTTATTATACTTTGACCAGAAACGGAGGAAATTTAGCTCTGGTTAAAATTACTCTTTGTTAATTTTTGAAATAAAATATTGATCGTTAAAAATAGCGTTATTTGTCCCCCATTCAATATATTTAAGGCCAAGCACGTGCCTGCTTCCGTGTCATGTCACCGAAAGAGTTTGTGGGTCACATTTGAAGAGGTCGTCTCACCGAGATAGATCAAACTATTGAAATATTCGAAATTAAATTTTCTTCAACACAAAAACAAGCCCTTCAAAAAGAAAAACACCCAACTCAATTACCCCTTTAATTTCATCTTGAACAAGAAAAAGGCCCTTACATGCAATCCTCGAGCGTGCGATGGGGCTACTTGAGGACCTACTTTCATCATCATACCTCTAGAAAAGTTAATTTTTTACCTGAAATGGCATCGTTGAAGTATTAATAGAACTAGTCGTAGGATGGTGTTGATTGTGGTGATAGTGTGAAGCCGCCGTTGACCCATAATTAAGTTGATAAGCGGTGTCCAAGATTTTTTTATGAGCCGAAGCGTGAGCTCTATAAGCGGAAACGCTCAATTTCATGTCGTTTTTGGCCAATTTGTTGGGGCACTACCGCTCGGTGGTCGTTCTTCGCCTCGAGCAGCAGCTCCATCTTGTTATCTTCGAAGAACCTAACCGAAAAAAAAAATAAAGCATAAAAAAAAATAGTTTCAAGGTGACACATTTAAAAGGAGATCGATAATTTAAAAACGGGGGTGTCTCTATTTGTCTCCGAAGCGACAACGGTAGGTTCGCGTTTTCCATTGTAAATTTACCTCTGAAAAATACGTTGGATTTGCATCTCGAGTTGTCGGTGCTCGGTACTCGCTTGGATGGATTGGATTAGAGACCTACTCGTCCTTGGACTGGGCAAATATAGATAATTATTCCTTGTTCCGGAAAATCTACTTCACAAATATTTTCTTAAAGACGTTTTTATATCATATTATTTTGACAATCAATTAACGTTATAGGTTTTAACCACCACTAATCGATTCGGGCGGAAAAATTAGTTAATTTAAGAAAGAATCATCGAATCATCATCGCCATCGGCTTAATCACGCTTGATACCGTGATGAGATGGTTAGGCATGGATACTTAAAATATGGTCTGGCTTAATAACAATATGGTATCGATACTGTGCTTCGTCTGCAAACGACCTCAGCTTCATTACGCTTGATATAGTGATGATATGGGTTTATTTGATGAGTACATGAAATATACTCTGGTTTTGTATCAATATGGTATCGATATTATGCCTCGGCCGCAAGCGACCTCGGCTTTATTAAGCTTCATATCGTGGTGAGATGGTTAGGTATGATACATACTTGAGAGATACTATTTTACATTAATATGGTATCAATGTAGCACCTCGCCCGCAAGCGACCTCGGCTTAATTATGCTTGGCATCGTGATGAGATGGCATGGTTTGGTGTCAATACAGTATAGTAATTAATACTGAAATTTATTGATAATCAAAAAAAAATGTTTTCGTTACAATTTCTGAAAGAAAAGAAATTTATTGTATCAATTTAAGGTTAGATTTCATCTAACGGTACGGTTCCGATCGATAGAAAAGACGAAAAGTTTGAATTATAGAGTAACTCCTCCAACTTCGACAACACAGGAATCTTACCGATTTCCTCAAAACTTATTTTCAACACTTTGCCAAAGTTGCGAGGCATAATCATAATTATTTTACATTTTCATAAATACCAAGCAACTTTTTCCACCAAATTCCACCGTTGACACCGACACCATCGGAATTCCAATTTTCTAAACTTCCCATCCTATCCCATCCAGATAATTAATTGCTCAACTTTTCATTCACCCACTCAAAAACAATCCCTCATTTAATTTATTTTTTACAACCCTTTATCATCGACACTTTAAAGAATTATTTTATCATTTTTTTGACCTTCTACGTGTATCGATTAAGTCCTAAGGGACTTCACCCTTCGAGCACGTTCAAAATCAAACTAAAAAAGGTTCTTTATTATTTTCCTTTACTTTTACTACCATTTCATATTCGACTAAAAATAAATTTGCGATCGAAATCGACGAAAAAATCAAATTAATCTAATAAATTGAATCGAATTAATTACTCAAATAGAATGTGAAGTTTGGAAAATAATTTTAAAATGATTTAGTGCGATTTCGATAAATTCAATTGAAACGACCCTATAGATTAATGTCTGGAATCGCATCGAATTACGTTTAACTTGAAACTTAGCGGAATAAAAGCGGGTATCTCATTCAGTAAACATCCGTTATTGTTAGTGAAAGAGGGAAAGAGATGGAAAGCGGATCGAATGCTAACCATACACTAATTTAAACAATTTCTTTTCGCACAAATTAAAATTAATCCAGACAACATTTAACATTAGCCACCGAGAACATTTACGACCTTCGTTTGGGGGCCACACAATTTTACGACAATTTCTAATGGAATAGATCCGTTTAGTACTGTAGTTTTACGACTTCCCATCCCCTACACACAAATTTCGTGCTGATTTCACCCCAAAATTTTTGTTATTTCACTACCTAATCTAAAACAAAAACAGAAATTAAGAAAACAATAAGAATCATCACCTTTCCTTCGACCTTCATCCTCCCTCTTTTCCATCTCGCTTAATAATTTCGGAAAATCCTTCACAAGCAGCACGTTTTCACACACAAAATAATTTAACCAACACTTTTTATATAAAATTACAACATTTCCGGTTTAAAAAAATCGACAATTATTGAAGGGATGTTTTGGACGATTTCCGAATTTATATCATGTAGGAAACACGATCCCTTTACCGCATCTCACACGATACTAAACGTAGATTTCCACCAAGAGCCCTTTCGAAAATGTGCAATTGCGCAGATGCCGATTGTGACCCTGCGATAACTTCTTATATCGAAGATTTATTTTAAATATTATTAATTCATTATAATTTTCTTTTAAAAAATCGATTTTTCATTCAAAAATAACTTAAAAATATAAAAAATTAAAATTAAAGATAAATTAATTACAGTTACCTACCTTACCGGCCATTTATAATTTTAGGTTACCCCAATCCTTGAATTGCATAAATCTTCTTTAATATTTCTTAATACACGGATACGACGGATACTTATCGATCCTTGCGGTTGATAATTTAACATCTCTTGAGTCGATACGAAGTGGTTGATTCGCTTTGGAGGGTAATTTTTAAACATCTTCTTCGATTATAAATCAGATCTTTGAGTGACGCTTAAAACTGTCAAATCTAAATCAAACTAAATTGAATGTAGCTACAAAATGAAATTATTAAATTAAATTGATTTTTTTAATTAAAATAAATAAATTAAATTAATAAGATTTATCCATAACACTAAAATAAATTTACGTTTAAAAAATAATAAATATAATTACAGAATGAAGATACATAGCAACAAAAAAAATAATTTAATTATTTTGTATTATTTTTTTATTTTAAATTTCCTATCCGTTTCAATTTCATTCAAAATTCTAACTGAAATTGGGCGAACTTTTAATAATCGTTAATAATTTATTGATTAAAATTGATTAAAAGTCAATGTCATAATTTAATGTTTTCTAATCAAATTTCGTATAATTCCTCCCTCAAAATAAGCGAATTTAATCCTAAATCTACTTGGAAATAACGGTAAATTAATTTAATTATTTAATTACAATTAATTTAATCAAATGTTATTCCCAAATTATTTTTATTACAAGATAGGCAACCCAAACTACACAAATTTATCACCACCCATTAAACTGTTCTGATTGGTTAATTCTTCCCATTTCCAGCTGATTCCAGTCAAAAAGTTCTCCGAAATGCTGCGTTAACGATTTTGAGGTTAGACCATCTAGTGTTTTTGGTGTTTTAAGCGTTTAAAAGGAAAATAAACCCCACAGGTAAAATTATTTAAACGTATTTACGTTTAAAAATAATTTTTTAAAGCAATTTTGATTAATTAAAATGTTTTGTGTTCAAGGTTTTTTGTAGGAACGTTTGTTTAGAGAGCGATTTTGAATTGAATAATTTGCCTACGTCAGAATTACCTGGCGTTTTTAGATAAATTGGGGCTTTAAGACTTCATTAAGAAGTATCGATTAAAATTACTTATCTCCAAGATTTTATTTTAATTAAGGTAAAATTTAATCTTTAATAAACATATTACGTAATTTTTTTTTTATTGGGACGATTTCGTTACATTATTTCATTAATTTTTCCATTAAAATTGTTTATTATTTATATTAAGCGACTTAAATTCGTATTACGAAAGAGATAATCAAAAAAAAAATGTTTTTTGCTTTATCTTCTCACGTCCATTAATTATAAACACTTTAAGTAGATAATAATCAAAGAAAAGCATAGAAATTACTTTGTCGTTTTCTATTTTTCGACAATTTAGTCCACAATTACGTTTGTTTTCGTACCAAATGTTTATAGTTTTGCAATTTCAAAATTGACGCAAATCCTCACTTTTGGGAGTATTTAAAAGGTTTCAAATCGATTTAATTTCGTAGTACTCAAAAATGGATAGGGAGATGTTGCAAAAAAGGCCATTTAAGAATCCATTTCATCGACCGTGGATGGAAGATAGTGGAACGGCGGCTATAAATCCGAGACAAGCGTTTAAAGGGATCATCGCAGGTATTTTTAAACTAAAAACGAAAAAAAAATAATTCATTTCGACTCAAGAAATTTAGATAAAAAATTTTGAGGTTATGCCAAAGTTTTTTTTGGGTCACAACAACGAAAGCATCCAAATTAATCACTTTAAATCAACTAAAACTTATTAAAGAACATCCCTAAATCGTTTTTATTGATATTAAGTTAATTTTCCCCAAATTTTAACAATTTTAGAGAGAAAATAATTTAATTACGTTTCATTTTGAACTGTCAAATATAAAAATAAAGTGAAGTTAGATGTTAATTAATTTAAAATAATTTAAATTTAAAGCTAACTTCACAATCACAAATTTGAGGTTATCTTAATAAATTAATATTATTTTTTTTTAATTTTAAGGAGGAATAACTGGGGGAATTGAAATATGCATAACTTACCCCACGGAATACGTAAAAACCCAATTACAACTCGACGAAAAAGGATTAAAAAAGCAATACAATGGTATCGGAGATTGTGTGGTTAAAACCGTACGAAATCATGGTTTCTTTGGGTTATACCGGGGATTAAGCATTTTAATTTACGGTTCAATACCGAAAGCGGGCTGTCGATTTGGTGCCTTCGAATTTTTAAAATCGCTCTCAATGGACGAGTATGGAAATATATCTCCGTTCGCCCGTTTCTTTTGCGGAATGGGAGCCGGCGTTGCCGAGGCCATTTTTGCGGTCACCCCAATGGAAACGGTTAAAGTTAAATTTATAAACGACCGTCGTAGCATGAACCCAAAGTTCCACGGCTTCGTACACGGCGTTTCGATGATGGTGAAAGAAGATGGGGTACTCGGACTTTACAAAGGTTTAACCCCAACCATTCTTAAGCAAGGTTCGAATCAAGCGATTAGATTTTTCGTTATGGAAACACTTAAGGATTGGTATCGAGGGGGTGATCCGAAACAACCCGTCCCGAAATATATAGTGGGGTTAATGGGGGCGTTCGCCGGAGCCGCCTCGGTGTTTGGAAATACCCCGTTGGATGTGGTTAAAACGAGGATGCAAGGTTTAGAAGCGAAGCAGTATAAGAATACTTGGGATTGTTTCAAGAAGATTTGGGTCAACGAGGGGCCTTTGGCTTATTATAAAGGAACGGTTCCCAGGTTGTCGAGAGTATGTTTAGATGTGGCGATTACGTTTATGATTTATGATAGTTTCATGGAATTATTTAATAAGGCTTTTCCTTAAGGAATTTCTTTAACAAAAATTTGGTTAAAAAAGAGTTAAAATCTAAATTTTTACTTTCTGATAGCATTCCAAACGAAAGTATTTCAACCGATTGCATTTGTATTGACCTTATTTTGTATTATTAATTGTTTTAAAACATTTACTATTATTTTTTTTAGTTTATAATTTATTGTCAAATTTTATTGATCGTTATTCGGTGACAGATTATTTTTAAAAATTTTTATGAATCAAAAGAATATTAAAATAAATAATAAAACTTATATTTTATCGATTTTAATCGTTTTTGTTCTCTTAAATATCAATTATCAGCATAAATTAATAATTTTGCATGGAAACATAACCTCAATGACAACAATAACGATAAAACTTAATTTAATAGTAATAATGTAATATTGAACTGATTTTAATCGAATAATTAACTCAAAACGATGTTACTGTTTATGTACAATTAATTAATTAATAATTTTTTAATGAGTTTTGAATTACCCGCCATAAAACTCACGTGACCTTCCCCAACCAATCAAAACGTAGCAATTTAATTCGTGTTTAATGGTGGTTGCGTTTTAGTTCCGGAGTGAATCCCTCCTAGAAATAAGCCGGATAATCAGCGAAAATGCGTATTTTCGGGCCGTTTAGGTGATAGTAACTACGTCGTCTCTTCGTTTGATCGATCTAAAGCGCGGTTTGGGTGAAATCCCACCCGAAAGTTGCCACAAACTTCGCAAACGTTAAGCATCAATTATTCGCTTTTATTGTTTGGAAAGTTGATAAAACATGGTTCGAGGTAGGTCTGGGAGTGTTATTAAAGCGAGTTTGGTGAAATTTCTAGTTGTGAGGATAAAAATGCGAAAAAATGAGTTTGGGCAGCCATTTTGAAAATTGATTTGTTTTGGGTTACTTAACCTATAATTATTTATTTATTTAATTTTATTTGATTATTTAATTATGTGATAATATAAAGAATAATTAGATTAGATTTCAATTTTTGATAAAAATACAAAAAATTTGTGTAAAAAATAAAATTATAATTTGACATAACCTAACTTTTTTTTATTTTTATTCTTTGCTTTATATTTAAGGCAGAAAAGTTCGCGCTGTTGTTTCGTGCCCGGAAAATGACGATTGCTACTCCCCCAATCCGAAGCGGAAGGGGCAAAAGGCGGAGAAGACTCAAACGATAACTCGATTCTTTCAGGTAAAAAAAAAATTGTTTCCGATTTGACTCATTAAGTTATTTTTTTTTAGACGGTGGTTCAAATGGATTATAACGAAGCTATGATTGACGAGAAGACCGAGAAGTTTGAGATTATCGACGAGGAATGTATCTTACAAGAAACGAAGCTTTTGGGTAAATTTTTTTATTGTATTTAAGTTCCAGAAGGATCAGTTTCAATTTTTTTATCATTAGAAAACGTTAATTTATCGACCTCTTGCGAGATGTGCCCCACAAGGTTATTAGATGAAACCACTAAATTCCGATAAACCTCTTCCGCTTGATTTATAGCTGTATCATAACGCAATTTCGTCTCGAATTTCTGCTCGAGGCTTTTTGTGATCTAAAAAATGAATTTTATTAACAAATAATCAAAAATCAAAATAATTTTTAACCAAATGCAGCTTATATTTCGATTTTTCAATCTCCAAACACAAATTTTTCTTCTCCTCTTCTTGCTTTTTAATCAAAACGTTTAATTCGTCTCTTTGCCGGTGGAGCTGATCCAAACAGTTGGTTATTTTTTCGCAATTTTCAAATAAATTACGATTTTTCTCCATTATTTTTTTTTGAAACGTCAAAAATTTTCGAAACTTGTCAAAACAATTTTCTCATAAACTAATTAAAAATCAGGTTTAAACTCGACCCCGCAACATTACGATTTAAAATCGACACCACACCGAATCGAATATCGAATGGAAACCGCTCGAAACCCCACAATCTCTTTGTCGATCGAAAAGCAACAGGAACAAGTGGTGCCCGTTGTTGAAAAAGCACCGAAAGGAAAAAGGAAACCAAAAAGTGATTTGGGAAACACGAAGTTAACAGAGTTCTTCCCCGTTCGGCGTTCAATTAGGAAAACGAAGAAAACCGTTTTAGAGGAGAAACAAAAATCGTTAGAGGACGCCGTTCGAAGCGGCTCCGAAGATGGTTTATTAGTTAAAATATTCGACGGCAAAGGAAGAGGGGTCGTAACAACAAAAACCTTCGAAAAAGGCGACTTTGTAGTTGAATACAGCGGTGACTTAATCGATTTAACCGAAGCTAATCGTAGGGAACAAAAATACTCTTTGGATCACACCGCCGGGTGTTATATGTATTATTTTAAATATAGAAACCAACAGTATTGGTGAGTTTAACAAAAAAAAACTTATTAAATGAGCTCAGAATTGATTAAAAAAAAAATTTACAGTTCAAATGTCAATTTGAGGTTATAAAGTTTTTATAGTAGAAACCACGAGAGCTGGCAGTGACTTGACGTTTAAAAATGGTATGAATCAAGATATGGACGTATGACTTAAATTATTTCACCACATATATTTAAATGTATGTTATAGTTGGTTTTTTTTGTATAATACTTGTCAATGTACATTTTTTAGGGTTTCTGTTGGTATTATTTAGGGGTTTTCCTAATTTTTAGTAACATTTTCAGTAACTAAATAGTTGAGGTTAAAATACTAATACATTTTTAGATAAATACGATTTTAACGAATTACATATTTGTTGTAAAAACGTGCTACAAAGTACTTAAATAAAACAAAACACCTTTTCTAGGTAAATAAATGGCAAATAAACATCCCACAACATTTTTATGCACCTTTTCTTTTTAAATAACGAAAGCTCAAACGTCAATGTGACATATTTATTTTAAAAGATGATAAAACAAAACTCCCTATTAATTTTGCCAACTTTACAACAATTTGGCAGGTATTATAGAAAAAAAATGAACTATAGAACTAACACTAAACCTAGAACTAGAAAGTTTCGGGTTTAGCCGTGCGTCTGGAGAAATTTAGTTTTACA